GGCCAAGACAAGATTTAGCCCCACCAAGGATGTTCTACTTTTCACCATTTCCCAGTAATGCCATCATACTATGAATCCATCAAGAATAAGTCCGTTTGTTACTTCAGAGGCCTCCAATCTAATTGTCTCTGGAAATGTTCTTACAGACCCCCACCCAGCAGTGTGCTTGACTAATTTCCTAGGCAATTCTCAATTCAAGATTAATCATCACAGGCACCATCACACCTTTTAGATGTCTGTTTTACCATCTGTCCTTCTAGGCACACTTCTTCTCCCTAGATACTCATTAAAATTGAAAAGGTTGGGTGTGTAGCTTACTGCACTTGCCTAGCATGCATGAAGTCCTGGCTTCAATCTCCAGCAACACACACACACACACAACTGCAAATATTTTTTGGAAAAGTGAGTCTAAGCCCCTTCTATGATACTCTTTGACAGCAGCACCAAAGAAGCACTCAGTGTTAGAGGGCCTAAAAGTGCTGACAAGGATGAGGGGTGGAGAAAAAGGATGTACAGAAAGAACAAAGCACTGTGGCCAAGAGTTGGGCTCAGCAGTCACATAGAGCTGGGTTCAATCCCAGCTCCTCTTTTTGTAGTTCTGTGACCACAGGTGGAAGATGCAATCTCACAGATATCCAGACACACCAGGCAGCTCTCAAAGGTCACAGGAGCTATGACATAGATATTCATCCTTAAGTTAGCCGGAGTCCCCTGGCCAGATACCTCTGTTGTGTAACTAACCACCTCATTTTGACTGGGACTGGGAAGGAGAAAAATGGGGGCAGTGTCCCTAGGACATGTACTTCCAGTTTGTCAAGAAAAAAATCATAACAAGCTGATTTAAATTGCTTTTGGTTTCTTTTTTGGTACTGGAGTTTGAACTCGGCCTCACATTTGCTAGGCAGGCACTTTGTCACTTGAGACACTCCACCAACCCTTTTTTGTGTTAGGTATTTTCAAGATAGGGTCTTGCTAACTATGCCCAGGCCTCAAACCATGATCCTCCTGATCTCTGCCTCTAGAATAGCTAGAATATAGGCACCAACCACTGGCAACCAGCTGAAGGTTGGTTTTATAGATGGAGAAAGACTGAAGTGAGCCAAAACAAAACAAAAAATGGGTTGGTCATTTCAGACAAGACTGGGCAGTGGGTAGTGTGGCTGTAGACAGGCTGGTCTTTTCAAAGTTACTTTCCTTGTAAAATGGGGACAAGTTAAGTAACTGGTCAATATCAGGTTACTTCAGGTGATCTTTTTTGGTGTAAGGATGATTATTATGCCAATAAAAGGAAATTTCTCTTGCATTTTTGAAACAGCTTAGTTTCAGTTTGGTGATACAGAACCTTATTTTGGTTCCATTCTGATTTTCAGTCTGGTCTGTTGCGTTCAGTGTGAGAGCCCAGCACAAAACAATGTACTTTTTATTCAATATGTTTTAAACCCAGGAAAGTCCTAGGCAGACAGGGACTAGTAGTCCCACTGTTACTTTGGCTCCTGATCGCCTCATAGGTTTAATCCTGCATGGCATCAAATGTTATTTTCGCCAAGTGTCTGTAATGTGGCAAAGTTTGGGGAGCTGAGTTTCTTTATCTCTAAAGTGGGAATGACAAGAATGCTACTTCCTTTGGCTGTTGTGACAAAGTGATCGAAGCAGGACCTTTTGACGCCCTCTTTTGGGTGAGGCACACTCAGAGCTGATGCCTTTGCCAATAGACTGCTCTCTGCCCCAAGATACTTAAAAAATTCATATTTTATCTGTTAGCGTACATGATATGTAAAGCAACATGCTATGTTAAACTGGGAAAAGAAATATAAACTTTCACCTTAAAAATAAATATTTTCCAGCCAGGCTTGATGGGTCACCCCTGTAATCAGCAGAGAGCTGGAGGATCTTTGCTGAGGCTAGCCAGGGCAAAAACTTAGTTGGACTTACCTCAGTCAGTAACATGGTAGTGGAGGCATAGGCAGGAGGATCTTGGTCAAGGGCAACGCTGGACAAAAACCATGAGACCCTTTTTGAAAAATAACTAAAGCAAAAATGGACTTGGGGGTATGGTCAAGTGGTAAAGCATCTGCTTAGCAAGCACAAGGCCTACAGGCACAAGAACTACTACAGTTCAAACTATGCCACCCGTAAAGAAATAAATGAACAAACAAGTATTTTCTACTAAGTGGAAATTTGCTGCTCCCACCCACCCTGTTGGCAATTCTCACATGTACTATTCTCAGCTTGAAAAAGAGCCCACCTCTCTAGCACTGAGTCTACCTCTTTTTTTTTAATTAATTTTTTAAATTATTCATATGTGCATACAATGCTTGGGTCATTTCTCCCCCCTGCTTTTTTTTTTTTTTTTTAATGCTACACTGGGGATTGAACTCAGCCTCACACTTGCTTGGCAGGCACTCTTACCGCATGAGCCATTCTGCTAGCCCTTTTTCTGATGTGTTTTTTTGAGATAGGGTCTCGCAAATTATTTGTCCAGGGCTGGCTTTGAACTATGATCTTCTTGATGTCTGCCTCCTGAGTAGCTAGGATTACAGGTGTGAGCCACCAGCACCTGGCTTGAGTCCACCTCTTGGGGAAGGGAAATTAAGTGACTTGGGACTGGAACACCCTCTTCTTGTAGGAAAGACAGAAGACTTCAAAGCTCAGCAGCTGTCTCGCTGGACAGGATGGGCAGCAATTAATAATAGTATCATTATTTTAGCACTGCTATTATCATAGTTATTGGAACAAGTTGCATCTGTGAAAGGCCATGAAGTCATAGTGACACTCCAAATAGAAAATTCCAAATAGAAAAAAAAAAAACACAAAAAGGAAGTTGAAACATACAAGAATGGTAACTCTAATTGGATATGTTTGAATTTCTTTTTTGTTTGTTTGTTTTCCATGGTACTGGGGTTTGAATTCAGGGCCTAGAGCTATGCTAGGCAAGCCCTCTACCACTTAAGCCATGTCCCCAGCCCTTTTTGCTTTATTTTTCTGATAGTCTCAAGATTTTTTTTTTTTGGCAGTACTAGGGCTTGAACTCAGGGCCTACATCTTGAGGCACTTCACTAGTCCTTTTTGTGATGGGGTTTTTTTTTTGAGATAGGGACTTGTGAACTATTTGCCTGGGCTGGCTTCAAATCACGATCCTTCTGATCTCTGTCTCCTGAGTAGCCAGAATTACAGATGTGAGCCACCGGCATCCAACTGAGTCTTTTTTTTTTTCTTTTATTATTCATATGTGCATACAAGGCTTGGGTCATTTCTCCCCCCTGCCCCCTCCGTCTCCCCCCCACCCCCTCAATACCCAGAAGAAACTATTTTGCCCTTATTTCTAATTTCCAACTGAGTCTTATGATTTTTGCTTAGGCCAGCAGTCTTGGACCTTGATCCTCCTGAACTCCACCTCCCAAGTAGCTGGATTACAGGCATGAAATACTACACCCGACCCTCTAATAGGATATATTTAACTTTTTAATTTTAGCAAGTAACATTAACACATATGGGTATTTTGCTTTATTAATTGGACATCTATTTATAAAATATATGTACATATTTGTTTCACCTGGGAAAGGAAAGCAACTCACAGGAGTATCAGAAGTCAATTGATCCCAAAGTAGGAACAAGAAGCACTGATGTTCTTGTGGGCAGAACAAGAAGCACAGATGGCACCAGGTGTGGTAGTACACATCTGTAGTCCCAGCTACTGAGACTGAGGTAAGAGGATCTCAAGTTCAAGGTCAGCCTAGACTACATAGGGAGTCTCTAAAACAAAAAAGAGGAGGGTTGGTGGAGTGGCTCAAGTGGTAGTGTGCCTGCCTAGCAAGCATGAGGCCCTGAGTTCAAACCCCGGTACTGCCAAAAAAAAGGAAACAGAAAGAGCAAGCACCCATAAAACTACAGTGGCAGTTCAAACTCCAGTCCCACTCAAAAAATAAATAAGGAAGTAAGTAAATAAATAAACTATAGTGGCCAATGTGAAAAGTCTAAATTTTATATGGGGGGTGGCATGGCTCAAATGATAGAGCACCTGCCTAGAAAGCTCAAGACTCTCAGTTCGATCCCCCAGTACCACCAAAAAAAAATTTTAAAAGCCCTAAAATTTGGAAATTTTCACATAGCTTCAAAAATAACCACTAAAAGTAGGGCTAGGATGTAGCTCAGCGATAGAGCACTTCACGCGTGGGTTCAATTCCTAGCACAACAACAACAAAAAAACCCTAAAAGTAAAAAAAAAAAAAAAAAAAAAAAAAACTACAAAAAAAACTTACTAGATGACCTGATAACACTGGGCCCACACTCCGGAGGTCCGTTATTATTTATCATTACGCTGTGTGGTTGTTCTTCTCACTGCGAAGATTTTTTTTTTTTTTTTGATGTTGTCACTCTGCCATCCAAGCCACTGTATTCGTTTTCCGGCCTCCTTGTCACCCTAATGTGGAACCCGGTTCAAGCAAGTTCCAGAAACGACACCGGTTGATGGAATCAGCCTTCCTGCGTTTGAATGTAGCCTCTCTGCGCCGGGATCGCCTCATCTGTACAATTGCCACAGTAGCAGAACCTACGTGCCTCAAAAGATTTAGTTAATAAATAAAACGCTGAAGACATTGCCTGCACTTTCAGAAAAGGCAATTCCAGCACTCGGGAGGCTGAGGCAGGAGGCTCCAGCGTTCCAGGACAGCGAGAGCCTGTCTTAAAAACAAACAACACGAAATGATTCTGCAGTAGGGAGTCCACAGCCGAGCTTTAGCGTAGGCGTCGTTCGTTTAGGGACAGTTTGGCGGGAACAGGAGGACGCCAAATAACGGAAGTGGCGTAAGAGGTCGCCACGCTTGGCGGGGGTGGGATTACGTGACCTCCGGAAGTCTCGTTTTGATTGGTTATTTTCTCGAGCCACCGCCCTATCAGCATCGCGCACTGCGTCGCTTTGGCTTGGGAGGCGGGGTTTGCCCTTAGTAAAGGTGGCCACAGAGGCTTCTACCCCATTTAGGGCAGTGCGCTTTTTCGGAAGCATGGCCCCAGAAGAGGGGAAAAGGCGTAAGATTCGTGAGCGTTGATTGGTTGAAGCTAGAAACGGCCTGGGCGCTGACTGGCTCCGTCATTCGCGCGAAGGAGTTTGTGGCGCCAGAGAAAAGTAGCTACAACGCTACGGCAGCAACTGGGTTTCTGGGGTGTTCGGTTAGCCCACCAGACCGGAATCCTGTGGGCCTGTTGATCCAACGGAGCCGTGACCGAGATGTGGAATAGTAATGATGGGTGGGGCGGGGCAGGAGTGGAGACTCGCGGGAGGATTTAGCCGGGGGGGCGGGGGAGGGGCGGGAGCCGGGGCCGCGGCGTTTGGGGGTTCGGGGAAAGGCGGTGTCGGGGGCGGGGGCACGAAGTCTCGGGGGACCCGCGGATTTCTCCCGGGTTCGGAGCGCGGCGCCGACACTAACACTTGTTGAAACCCAGGTGGATTTGAGAGCTATAGCAGCAGCTCGTACGGCGGCCCCGGCGGCTACACTCAGTCCCCGGGCGGCTTCGGGTCGCAGACGCCGCAGGCCGAGAAGAAGTCGGTAGGTGCAGGCTTGCATCGTTTCCCTTTGCTCTGTCCTCTGCCGAAGCCCCTGGAGGTTTTTTTGCCTTGAAAGAAGGGCGATCCATAAGGCTGAGTGTCTTGTTAACTTTAAAACTTGAAATCGTCCCTGTTTTCGCACCTACCGTTTGCTCGGGTCGGGTTTGAAGCTCCTCATAACTCCTGAATTAGGCTTGTGGAAAGCCTCTGAGCTTGAATTAATAGCCTATTTTGCGTTCTTGTTGTATTCAAAGTCATTTTCTAATTAAATACAGAGAGGCGACGATATACGATAGAAAGAGCGCGATTTCTCTGATTTTTTTTTTTTACACTTTAAAATGGTAAATTGTAAGTTTTGTGAATTTTAGCTCATAATTTTTTTTTCTAAGAAAAGAAAAAGGCAGCACTCCCTCTGGGCGGATGCAGCCTTGCAGGTACATGGTTTAGCAAACAAAGCAGGCTGGGTTTCAGTCCCTTTAGCCCCGTGTCTGTGTGCAGTGAACGACCTGCGCGCCTGTCCTTGGCAGCCCTTTACCTCTGTGCGTCCCATATGGCAGAGAAAAGGGATGATAGATTGGATGCTTTTGCTGAGACTGGATGAAACCCCATCATCCTGGGCGATGCCATGGAATTAAGAGGTGCACAGTGTTTTGTAGATGGAAAGTGCCAGACTCTTGTGAGAGGCTGCTAGTGATTGTCATTATTGCGTAGGCTGTGCGTGTTTCTCTTCAGTTATCCTTTTTGAAATTCAGGTCTGATCACCACTCCAGAATTTTCTCTGTCAGATCCATTTCCTGTTGACATCTGTAGCCTTGCCTTTTAACCCTTCCCACATCTGCCCTCTCTCGGTCAACTTCTAGGACTCAGCACAAATTTTTGCATGCTGTTCCTTGTGGCTGGAATGCCCTTTGATTTCTGATTGTTTTTTAACCTTCTTGGGGATCAGTTTTGCACCCACTGAATTGGGTTAATCCCTGTCTTTCAAGGTAGTTGTGAGACTTAATGTTAAATACAAAGTGCCCACCTCATTGTCACTGTGAACCAGTGGTCCCTGATACCATTTTTAAAAGAACATGGGGTTAGGAGCCAGCATACATAGGCTGCAAAATTAATTTTGTCTCTTTAAGTGGCAGTGTGACTTGAGCAAAGCAACTTACATCCCGGAGCCCTCTGTTTTTCTCAACTGATGATGGTACTAGTCCTACCCATGTCACAGTGTGGTTCAGAATGAGTTTGCATTTAACAGATGCTATTGATTTCATCATATAAATTCAGGGCTCATTTTGATTCTCTGTAGGTGTCACTCTGATGTAGTGTTAAAGATTCAGGGTGAGCAAGTTGTATGAATGGTGGGCAAGGTAACTGGGTGACAAGCTTTAACCTAAAACTGTTAATGCAGGGGTGTGTGGTGGAGGAGGATTCATTAATAATTCCTGTACATATGGACATTACTTTATATTTTTCATATGAATTATTTCATATAGTCCTATAAGGTTTTTATTTATTTATTTTTGCTCAGTGCCTACACCTTGAGCCACTCCACCAGCCCTGTTTTGTGGTGGGGTTTTTTTTGAGATAGGGTCTCTCGAATTATTTGCCCCGGGGCTGGCTTCCAGCCTAGATCCTCCTAAGCCCTGCCTCCTAGCTAAGTTTACAGGCATGAGCCATGAGTGTCAGCTTATAAGATGTTTATTGTTTACTCCAGCATACAACAGAGGCTCAGGTACATTTAGGGAGCATCACACCATCATAGCTAGTAAGTGACTGGAACCAGACAGTACACACGTGCTACTGAGCAGATCCAAAGTTTGGTGAGGAGCTGCTTCTCAGTATTGTAGTTTTCTTTTCCAGGAAGACCAGCAGGACTTCAGTGTTCTTTCTCTCTCTCTCTCTCCCTTCCACACCCCCAACCCCTACCCCGTGCTGGGGATCAAACCCAGGGCCTTGTACAACCAAGCGTTCCTCTCACTGAACTATATCCCCAGGATTTCAGTTCTCTGGCTTTTTTTTTTTTTTTTAAAGGCGACTATAAGAGATGGATTGTTATTTTTTTATTTTTATTTTTTTGGCAGTGCTAGGGTTTGAACTCAGGGCTTCACGCTTGGTAGGCAGGCACTTTACCACTTGAGTTACTATGTCAGCCCTGTTTTGTGTTGGATATTTCTTTTGGGGGGGGGAGTTTGAACTCAGGGCCTACACCTTGAGCTGCTCCACCTGCCCTTTTTTGTGATGGGTTTTTTGAGATAGGGTCTCTGGAACTATTTGCCCAGGCTGGCTTTGAACCGTGATCCTCCTAATCTCTGCCTTCTGGTTCTTTTTTTTTTTTTTTTTTTTTTGACAGTACTGGGATTTGAACTCAGGGCCTTGGGCTTGCTAGGCAGTGCTCTAACAACTGAGCCATGCTCCAGCCCTAATCTCTGCCTTCTGAGTAGCTAGGATGACAGGCATGAGCCACTGGCACCCAACTAATGCTGGTTTTTTCTTTCTAAATTTACCTATTTTTCTGTTCTGGTTATTAGAATTTTTACCTTAAAATCTCTAGCCTGAACAGTGTATTAAGACAGCTTCTCAAGCTGGGTATAATGATATATGATTATAATCCAAGCAAGCCAGGGACTGAGGCTGGAGGATCACAAATTCAAGGCCAGCCTAGGCTATATCATAAGGTCCTGTCTTAAAAAGTTTTTCAGAGAAGAATCATGGTTATAAATAAGCTCAGATCTTTTTTGTTTTTAAATCTAGTCTTCCACAGTAAATTAAGTAAAAGCTCTCTGAAATGTTCACTATTGAGTGTAAATTTGTTATATTTGGTTGAAATTTCCAAAATGGTGGTTTCATACAGTATTCTCAAGGTAGCCTGCAGTTCATACTCAGTTATGAATATTACATATTCCAAAATTAAACATACTTGTGCAGGCATACTCTCTGTGAACCTGTTTGGAACAAACTGAGAATTCAGAATCAGTTCCTGGCATGTAATATATGCTAAATAAAAAGCAGATCTCTGGTTTGAGATGTCTTTGAAGGCATTAACACCTTAACTATTTGCCATGTGTAGTTTTGTTTTTAACCAGAAGAATAAAATTTACTAAATACTTATTAGTACTTTATATACAGCATATGTTTTGTTTAAAACTTGAAAGGTAGATAACCTCATTTTCAGAAAAGATGGTGGTGTGTATAGGCTGTGGTGCTGGGACTGAGTACAGGCATAGGGACTGTTGTTCCAGAGCCCATACTCTTGCCACTTTTGTTTTCAGTGTTGAAGATAGAGTGAGAATCTCAGCTATGATAGATGAAAACAGAAAAGAGGGTAGATCGTGACATAAATCCTGGAACCCCTGCAAATTTTAGCTCTATAAGTATTAGCATAGCATTTAACTTCACCTGTGAAACACTATAGGAAATGACGCAGTTCCTGTGTTTACAGAGGAATCAGAGATCGGGCATCACACGGCTGCCCCTCAGCTCCCTACTCCCCCTGAACTGCATTCTCCTCCCCTCCCAATGTTTCTCTGAGCCCTTTTCCTGAGCCTGTCTTCCTTCCTAGCTCAGGGTTTGTCTGGAGTCCATTTTCAGAGAACAGGGATGAACACAGAAGTGGGGATAGAAGCAAAAGGGTCAAGGGAGGGCAGCTGTGTTCCCTCCTGGGGTCACCTCCTCAACTCAGAGTTCTGGCCCCCTGGACCTTGCTTTCCCCGCCATTAACAGCCAGATGTGTTCTCTTTTAACCTGATCCTGCATCTTCTACCACATTTATGTCATGGTGTTTTACTAGATGGTACTGCACTTTGGTGTTGCATTGTGATTCACTATTTTTTAAATTAAAGTACAGGAAACAAAATACAATAAATTGAAATTAAAAGACATAGTTGATCCTTCACATCCTTATTTAAAGCTGTTACAGGACTGGCGGCATGGCTGAAGCCCTGAGTTCAACCCCAGTACTGCCAAAAAAAGAAAAAGATTGAGGACCAATAGTTAATAAAGTAATTGCTAATATTTATTGAGTGCTTACTGTACCAGGTAGTATTCCATAGTGCTTTGTCATGTACTTAGTTTTCATAATTATTTTCTGATTCCTAGTTTTACAGATAAGGAGACTGAGGTATAAATGAGTTAAGAAACATGACCAAGAGCACACTGATATTGAGGGTAGCGCCATAATCTTAACCTCAAGTTTGCTGCCTTTTATGGCATGTGTGCTGGTGGTTGGCTGGGCTTACGTTATACTATACTGGTCAAACTCACCATTCAAAATTATGCTTCTGCAAAGTGTAATATGTGTCTTCAGGTCAAAGTTGCAACTGCCAAGTTCTTGAGGGCTGAGAGTCTACTGTGCTCTGCATCTTACATACAGAGCAGGTTGGGCTGCTTCCTGTCCTGCCAAGAAGAATGCGATGATCCTTAGTATCCTGTTTCTTCGCCTTGCGCATATTACCTCTGTGTGACCGCAGGACTGTCTGTAATCTCAGTTCCTTAGAAGCTTGAGTTTTGGAGTTTGAGGTTAACCTTCGTAGCTAGACTCAGTCTCCAAAAGGAACAAAAACAAAACTGTATAAAGAATGGGTACAATAGGCAGAGGGCAAATAAAGAATGGGTACAATAGGCAGAGGGCAAATATGCAGCAACCCCCCCCAAAAAAAAAAAAAAAAAACAAGAAGTATGGGAGTGTGTTGTAAGGGCAGATTTTTTTTTTTTTTTAAATGCTTCTATTCTCTCCACACACTTTTGTGTGTGTGTGTGGTGCTAGAGGTCAAACCCAGGGCCTTGCATATTCGAGGCAAGTACTCCACCTCAGCCCTCTTTTTTTTTTTTTTTTTGAGACAGCTATGTCACCCAGCTGGTTTTGAATGCCTGATCCTGCCCCTTTGCCTTTGCCTTCCAAGTAGCTGGGACTACAGGCTTACCTGCAGATTATCTCTTGCCAGCAATAGGCAAAAGTAAGAGTTTATACTTCGAGCAGGCTACTTTTTTTTTTTTTTTTTTTTTGTGGTATTGGGGTTTGAACTCGGCCTCAGACTTGCTAGGCAAGTGCTCTATCACTTGAGCCACTCCACCAGCCCTTTTTTGTACTAGCTCTTTTCAAGATAGGGTCTCAGAAAACTGTTTGCCTAGGCTGACTTCAAACCATGGTCCTCCTGATCTCTGCCTCCTGAGTAGCTAGGATTATAGGCATGAGCCACCAGCACCCTGCTTGTTTTTTTGGTACTGGGGTTTAAACTCAGGGCCTTTTGTTTGTTAAGCAAGTGCTCTACCACTTGAATCATGCCCCCAGCCCTTGTTTTGTTTTTTTTTGAGACAAGGTCTCATAGCTCAGGCTGGCCTATAAAACTCGTGATCCTCCTGCCTGTGAAATTCTAAGATTATAGTCTGCCACACCCAACTGGCAGACTGCTTTAGGATGTGATATGAATGTCCTCACTAGATGATCTACCCATCATCCTGTGCTGTTTCTTTAAGATGACCCGTTGGCAAAGGTATTACCCCATTTTCCACAGGAGCTGGATCTGGTAGTCAGAACTTCTGTTCTAAAGGAAATAATATGTCTAAATTTTTGTTATGTCTCATCAGAAGGCTTAGAACAACTCCATAGTGCTATCTCTGCTAGCCATTTCTCAAACCCTTTTCTAATACCTTTTCATTTCTGCAGTGTCCTGAGCGGTCTGCTTCACCCTAAAGCCGGAGCTTCCTCTTAGAGGTCTGTTTTGGCGATAGGTCACCCTGCCTTATCCTGTCTGTACTCTGGCCTACTCTGGCATTTTGGTGAAGCCACAGTTCAACTAACTTACCCATCCAGCAGGAGCTTTGGAGTCAGATAAATGTGGGTTTAAATTCAAAAGTGTGGCATTTGTTAGCTTAAAGCAAAGACAGTAAGGTTTGTTTTGAAGTTTCAAGGTTGTAATATATTCGAAGTGCTTGGAGCTTGGCAAACATTACATGAATGGTGGTTATTCTTCTCTCAGTTGAATTTGTGTACACTCTTTCTCTTCAGAGAACCCGAGCCCAGCACATTGTACCCTGTACCATATCTCAGCTGCTTTCTTCTACTCTGACTGATGAAGTATTCAAAATTGGGAATGTTGAAATTTCACAGGTATGTAAGAGTTTGTAGAAGAGCCACTTAGCATAAGAAGAATGAAAAACTTCATTTAATAAAAGTGCATACATATTGTTTGGTTTCCAAGAAAACCAAACCTTTTTTTTTTTTTCCTAATGTAGGTCACTATTGTGGGAATAATCAGACATGCAGAGAAGGCTCCAACCAATGTTGTTTACAAAATAGATGACATGACAGCTGCACCCATGGATGTTCGCCAGTGGGTTGACACAGATGTAAGTGACCATTTTGGGATCTGGGTGGGGTTACTTTGAGACTTTGGAGGTATTGAACTCTTTTAATCTTAATCTTTTAAAGATTTTTCTTAGTATAAAAATAATAATCAAAGGCGAAAGTCCAAAAATGAAAGGTAAATAGATTTGACTACATAAAAATTTAAAGACTTGTAAATTTCCTCAAATACCATAAACAAAATTTATTTTATTTTTTATACATATTTCTTGGCAGTTAATTGGATTTGAACTCAGTACCTCAGTTTTTCTAAGCAGGAGCTCTACCACTTGAGCCATGCCCCCAGCTCTTTTTTATGTTAGTTCTTTTTCAAATGGGGACTGAACATTTTTTCTGGGCCAGCGTCAGATTGCGGTCCTCCTACCTGTGCCTCCCAAGTAGTTAGAATCACAGGAATGAGCCACTCTGCCCAGTTCTTAACAAAGTTCAAAGGCAAGTGACAGGAGATAGTGGACTGTGAACTTCATGTGAAGGATTTTTATGTTGGTCACCACTGTATCCCCAGCACCATGAACAATGCTAGTCACAGTGGGCCTTGAGTTAATACTTTTTCACTGGTTAAAGGATTGGGAAGAATATTTGAAAACAAAAAAAAAAAAAGATGCCCAGGTAATTCATAAAAGACTTAAGTATACATGGCAGTGACAGTAACAGAAGCAGTTTTAGTGAACTTGGAAAGTTTTTCGGTAGAGAGGTTTGAACTCAGGGCCTTCTGCCACCTAGGCAATGCTCTGCCACTTGAGCCATGCCCCCAGCCCTTTTGCTTTTTTATTTTTCATGTAGAGTCTCACATTTTTGCCTGAGCTGTCCTCAGACTATGATCCTCCTACCTATGGCCTCCTGAGTAGCTAGGACCACAGAGTCTAGAAACTCTGCTTAGCTTATTGGTTGAGATGAGGTCTTGCTAACTAACTTTTGGCCCAGGCTGACCTTGAACCTGAATCCTCCCAATCTCTGGAGGCATCCAGAGTAGCTGGGATTGCAGGCATGAGCCCTCGCTCAGCCTAGGATACCATTTTTAACTTACTAGGTTGGCAAAGAAAAAAAGTGACAGTTCTGGTGAGAGCAGCACCTAGCACAATGCTTCTAACAGGAAGTGTTTAATAAATATTTGTTGAATGATTTGTCATTGTTTTTCTGAGGAAGTGAAACCACAATACCCTGATGGGTATGAGTATAAACTGGTTCTCAGAAATCAGCCTGTATCAAAATCGTCAATCATAAAAAATGTTGACTACTGCCAGGAGCTTACATTAAGGAAATAATTAGAGACATCTACACAGGTTCAGTTTAAGAATGTTGACGATAATATTACATGTAATAATGACATGTTAATAGCAAAGGCACTTGATAAGTAAACAATGGAATATTTATAAAATCCTACAGATGATGTAGAAGTGTATGCATTGTCACAAAGAAGTGTTTATCATAAATTGTTGAGAGGGAAAGAACGTGTTAAAAAATGGTATGCCTATTCCATGATAAGAATGCAGCATCCCCTACCCAATAGTAACCAGTCCAGAAGCATTAAGCCTTTAGCTTGTTTCCACTCATTTGTTACTATAGACAGTGCCCCAATGAGTGTCTTTTTTTTTTTTTTTCTTTTTAGTAGGACTGGGTTTTGAACTCAGGGCCTTACATTTGCTAGGCAGACACTCTACCTAGCCATTTTGCCAATCTGCTCTGTTATTTTGGAGATGGGTTCTCTGGGACTGTTGCCCCAGCCCGGCTTCAAACCTTGATCCACCCAATCTTAGCCTTCTAAGTAGCTAGAATTACAGGTGTGAGCTACCAGCACCCAGTTCTCAGTGAGTATCTTTACACAAATCCCTTCATGATAGTAATCTCCATTCCATCACTTCCTAAAAAAAATCAGTTTTCTGGGGGTGGGGGGACGGGATAGTACATTTCACTCCCCCCCCCCATGCTTCCTTCAAGGTGCGGATGTACACTTCACTTGTGCGTGGGAGTGCCCAGTTAGTTTTCCATATCTTTTCTAGCAGTGGGATGTATGCTTTGTAGCAGCTTTGAGAATCTTAAATTTTTGCCAGTATGGTAGTTAAACAAAATAGTTTGGCATGGCGGGGGGGAGGGAGTGCATGCCTGTAATCCCAGTACTTGGGAGGCAGAGGCAGGAGGGTTGCAAGCTTCGGACTAACATGGGCTACCAAGCAAGACCCTGTCTCGGGGAAAAAAAAAAAAAGCAAATTTTTACTGTATTTCTTTGTTTTTAGTGAGGTTGAATTTTTTTTTTTTTTTTTTTTTTTACTGTTTAATAATTTGTAGGGTTTTTAAATTTTCTGTTTAAGTCCTTTGATTACCCTCAGGAGTGTTTTTTTGTTTATAACAACTTGAAAAATAGTAACCACTTATTATAAATTACAAACCATTTCTCTAGTTTGTCTTTTTTTTTTGGTGGTGCTGTGAATTAAGGCCTTGCACTTGTGAAGCAGACACTCTTACCACTGAGCTGTGCTCCTTACCCAAAAGTATATTTTAACTGTCCATATTTCCTTCTACTATTTATTTATTGTGATACCAAGGTTTGAGCTAAAGGCTTCATGCATACTAGGCAGGTGCTGTACTGCTTGAGCACCATCAGGCCCGTTTTGCTCCAGTTGTTTTGGGTCTCACTTTTTGCCCCAGCCAGCCTGGACTGAAATCCTTCTGTTTTATGCTTCCCACAGTAACTGAGATGTCATGCACATTCCACCTCACTCAACTTTCTGTTTTTGTTTTAGCATAACAGGATAAAGTAGGAAGAAGAAAGAAAAAAGAAACATTTTCTGGTCCCCCACACAGGAAATGAGAGTAAAGACTCTCGCTTAGCTATTGGTTGAAATGGGGGTCTTATGAACTTTTTTTGCCCAGACTGGCCTTGAATCAGAATCCTCCCACTCTCAGTCTCTCGGGTACCTTGGATTTTAGACTTAGCTATCATTTCTGTCTTATAATTAAATTTTTAACTGTTTGGAATATATTTTGGTAAAGGGAAAGAAGTAGAGCTCTAGCTTTCCTTTTCCCAAGTGGTTTAAAATGTTATATGTAGGAATACATTTTCCATATGGTATAGCTTCAACTATATGATGTTAATAAATGGATGGAGTGAAATGCAAAAGAAGTTTATTTTTAGGTGATGAGATTTCAAGTGCTCTTCTTATTTTTACATACAAGTACTTTCTAGTTTTCTAAAGTTATGTATTTTACATAATCAGAAATTAACTTTAAAAATCAGCTAATAAGGCTAGATGTGGGGTTCACTACTATAATCCCAGCTACTCAGGAGGCAGAGATCAGGAGGATCACAGTTCAAGACTAGCCTGGGCAAAAAAGTTATCAAACTTCCATTTTAACAATTACCTGGACATGGTGGCATACCTCTGTAACTTCAGCAGCACAGGAGGCATAGGTAGGCAGATCTTGACTCAAAGCTAGCCTGGGCAAAACTAACATGAGACACCCTATCTGAAAAATAACCTAAAGTAAAAACTGTTGGGGGTGTGCCTCAAGTGGTAGAGCCCTGAGTTTTAAACTCAGTACCTCAAAAAAAAAAAAAAAGAAAAGAAAAAAATCACTAACATATTTTTCTTATAAGTAATGTGTACCAGATCTAGAAAACTCAAGACAAATGGTGAACTGGAGGTATGGCTCAAGCGGTAGAGCTCCTGCTTTGCAACCATGAAGCTCTGAGTTCAACCCCCCATCCTACCAAAAAAAAAAAAAAGAAAAGAAAATTATGCCAGGCACTGGTGGCTCATGCCTGTAATCCTAGCTACTTGGGAGGCAGAGATCAGTAGAATGGTGGTTCAAGGCCAGCCCAGACAAATAGTTTAAAAGATGCAATCTCAAAAATACCCAGCACAAAAAATGGCTTGATCTAAGTCTGAATGCATATTGTTGTTTCCTTAAATTCCTAAAAGTAGAATTGCTTGGCTGAAAAATAAGCACCAAAAATTTGCCTGAGAGCATTGAGTATCATAATTCTTTGCTTTTTTATAGTGTGCATAACATAGAAGTTTGGAACTAGAAGTTGCCTATAGAGATTTTTGTACTCTAATTTCTGATTTTAGAAATAGTCCTAAAAGGCAAAGTTAATGCCATGTGAGGATTTAGGTCTTCTACTTTATAACCTTCTCTTTCTGTACATAATTTAGACATCTTAAGGGGCTTTTACCAGCATCACCAAAACCCCAGGTATGTTTGTATTTTATCTGTTAGGACGCAAGTGCTGAAAACACTGTGGTTCCTCCAGAAACATATGTGAAAGTGGCTGGCCACCTGAGGGCTTTTCAGGTAAAGTCAGAATAAAATGGTAATGTAAATGTGTTTGCATGAAGCAATTTCTAGATCATATCTGAGTTTAGGATACCTTAAGTCTCCACATTTAATGAGAAGTTATTTCGTTTTTCTCTTCTTCAAGGGGAAATAACTGGTTTTACCTTGTAAAAGGACCCAAATGGTAGAGAAGGAATAATGGCAGCTGTGGCATCCCTTAGGTATAGAAGGGACAACTCTGGGTTCAGAGCCAGTAGACTAGATTCTGCTTGGCTTTGAGACCCTGAGCAAGTCAGGAACATTTCTGAGTTAAAGGTTTAAGTATGTAACATTTTCCCCATATTGGCAAAATACTATAACCAAGTAAAGAGCCAGTATGTTGGCCTGAAAGTGACTTGAATCTCCTTATCCTTTACATTTTCCTCTTTTATTTTAATAGAACAAAAAGAGCTTAGTGGCTTTTAAGATCATACCCTTGGAGGATATGAATGAGTTCACTGCACATATTCTGGAAGTAGTCAATGCGCACATGATGCTGAGCAAATCTGACAGCCAGGTGAGCAGCTTCCCTTAGCTTTTTCCTTGGAAGAACATTGACTGCCCTTCCGCCCTGGCTTTGATTTCCTTGACATTCTGAAGGTTGAGCCAACAGAAAGGCTTCACTCGGCTCCCTGAACATTTTCCCCATGAGCTTTGCCCTTGTGTTGTGTTTCAGGTAAAGCGCTCATGTTTCTCTTGAGAATTTTGTATTCCTCTCAGCCCACTGGCCTGGATGGCTGACACAACTAGGGGCTGAGTCCATATTCAGAGAAAAATCCCAAGCAAAATAGCATTTTGCTGCTTTTCTTCCATTCTATTGCTTGAGTAGAAAAACTGTGCACTGGTATCTTTTCCCTGACATTTTATTTGTGAGTTCATATTGAAATTTCTCCATGCTACTCTGTTGTGTGAATTCACTTTGGCATATCCATCAAAGGGTTTGTCAATTCAGGTGTCGATTCCTCAGAGGATTCAGGTGACAAGATATGTGAAGGATTGGTTACACAATGGGGGAGACTGGAGAACTGATAAGCCATTGAGGATGCTCTTGCATCCAACTTTGTGCCAGACACTTTGAACATAAAGTCAGTGCGATATTTGAAAAATATTTATTGAGCCTACCATGTACGAATCATTGCTGTGGGCCCTTAGAATATAGTAGTAAGCAAGTAATAAAGTATCTGCTCTCAAACTTACCTTCTTGGGAGAAATGCAATAAACAAGAAACCAAATGCATACTTTAGGTAGTTAGGGGCCCTGAGATAATGCAGAGTAGAAGACACTGATGGTGGGAACAAGATGGTACAATTTTAGGTAGGGGAAGAACATTCCAAGTGAAGGGAATAGGAAGTGCCAGAGCCCCAAGGGTGGAGCAAACTTGGCATCTCAGATAAGCAGGAAGGTAGGTCAGAGTGTCTGGAATGAAGCAAATGACAAGGAGAATGGAAGAGAAATGTAGGTGAGGAGGCAGGGCTCACATGATGTTGGGCTTTGTAGGCCATGTGGTAAGGGGCAACTTTATTCTGACACTAAACCTCTGGAATCTTTCAACCAGGGAGTCATGGGACAATCTAACCTGGGCTGTTGTTTGGAGAATAGACTGAGGCACCAAGAATGGCAACAGAAGTAATTCAGAGGATAGCCACAGCTGCGAAATGGTTGGATTCCACATGTTCAGAAAGTAGAGCTGACAAGAGTTGTTGGTGGATTAAACACAGAATATGAAGAAAAAGAAGGGTTCAAAAACCCCTAGGTTTGGGCTTAAGCAATATATTAAGCTATTAGACTTAAAGGGTAAAATCCAGAGCTCTGTTTTGTACTTCCCAAATATGAGTTGCCAGTTAGAGATACCCGAGTGGGAGATTGAATATGTAAGGCTGGGGACTCAGGGAAGAGGTCAGGGCTACAGATAGAGCTTTGGGAGTCATCCTTGTGTAGATATTTAAAGCCCTCGGAGATGAGATAACTAAGGCGTCCTGAGGACAAAGACATGAACTCTGGGATACAGAAGCCTTTAGAGGTCTGGAAGGGGAAGAGGAACCATTGAAAGTCAGTGAAGTTGCTAGCTAGGCAGGAGGAAAACCAGGAATTGTGACTTTGTGGAATATTTTCTTTGTTTGTTTGTAATAGGGTTTACTATGTAGCCTAGGCTGGTCTCAAATTCATGTTCCTCCCACCTCAGCCTTCTGAGTGCTGGGATTACAGGCGTACAACATCACATCCAAGCTTTTTGTTTGTTTGTTTGAGTTGGTGTCTCACTATGTTGCTCTGGCTGACTGCAAATTTTTTTTTTTTTTTTTTTTTGTGATAAGTTTTTTCAAGATAGGGTCTTGCAGACTATTTGCCCAGTCTGGCTTCAACCTGCAATCCTCCTGATCTCTGCCTCCTGAGTAGCTAGGATTACAGGGCTGAGCCACCAGTGCCCAGTCTGACCTCAAACTCTTGAACTCAAGCAGTCCTGCCTCAGTCTCCTTGGTAACTAGGACTATAGGGGCATACTGCTGTGTCTAGAGTATTTCAAGGAGAGCTTAGAGAGAAGTTGTAGAATGCTGCCTGAAGTCAACTAAGTTGATGAAAGAGGTCTGCTGTAGGATTTGGAAGTGTGGCTCTTTAAGAGAGGCTGGAGCTGGGGGTAGATAAAGTGTTAGACCTATACTTCATAGCGTACACATGTATGTGTCAAATAAGTTCAAGTGTTGGGTTTTGTTCTTTTTTTGGCAGTACTGGGGTTTGAACTCAGGGCCTCATGCTTGCTAGGCCGGTACTCTACCATTTGAGCCATTCTGCCTGCCTTTTTTGTGTTGAGTATTTTTGAGATAGGGTCTCTTGAAGCCAGGCTGGCTTTGAACTGTGATCCTCCTGATCTCTGCCTCCTGAGTAGCTAGGATTACAGGTGTGAGCCACCAGTGCCCAGCTTAAAAATAGTTGTAAAGTCAGAATGAGTGGTGAGGGAATAAAAACTATGAGTATAGACCATTATATTGAGGAATAAATACAGTAATTCTTTTTCTCAAAGATGATTGCATTACAGTATGGAGATTCAGAACACTTAGGCAGTGAACACATTTGACAAGTCAAAATATTTTGGATCCTAGCCTGGATGTCAGTAAAGGTCCCCTAGGGCTGGGGTGTAGTTCAGTAATACAACACTTGCTTTGCATATGTGAGGCACTGGGTTTATCCCTGGTACCACAGAGGGAAAAAAACAAAAAGAAGAGAGAAAGAGAGACACAGGCACTGGGGCCACCTGAAACAAGAGATGAGGTCTTTTGGGGCAAAAATATTTGGTAAGAAACTGCATTCAATTCAGTATTACTGGATTATAAGTTTTATCAGGAGGCAATATGAAGGCATCTAGCTTGAAAACAAGGAACCATGGTTGGTCCCTTTTATAATTTTGCATTATAAAGTACCTCAAAACAGTGGGCATTTGATGAACTTTTTTTTTTTAAATGATTCTCCTGACTGAATTGAACTTCTTAGGCTTTTCCACAGTGCTCTTAACCTGCTGTGAGTATCGAACATACTTGATCCTCTCATTCTTAGTTCAGTTCAATGGCTAAGACATTGACAGTAGGTGCTGTCCACCAGGCGCTATGCAAAGATGAAGGAACTTGTGTAGGAAACCAGCATGCCAGCAGTGCGGTGGGTGCTGTGATCAGGATGGGCCCAAGGCTGAAGTCAAGAAGGAACAAAAACTAACTTGGCTTGGGGGATGTCAGGGAACACTTTACAAAGGCAATGGCAAGTATGGTATGTTAGACCTTGAAGGATGAAGAGAGTGTTTACCAGGCAAGTGAGGGAGGAGCATTCCAGACACTGCAGCACGCTCAGATCAGGAGCATGTTTGAGGATGGCAAGACGTTCAAGTATAGCTGGGGAGCAAGGTGTATTGAAGGTGTGATCAAAAATAAATTACAGCCAGGTGCTACTTGGGAAGCAGAAATTAAGAGGATCAAGGTTAGAGGCCAGCCCAGGCACAAAGTTCCTGTGAGCCCATCTCAGCCAATAAAAGATGGGCGTGGTGGCACATGCCTGTTATCCCAGCCTTGTAGGAAATGTAAATAGGATCCCCACTGGCCAGGCCAGCCTGGGCATAAAGTGAGACCCTATCTCAAAAGTAACCAAAGAAAAGGACTGGGGGCATGGCTCAAGTAGTAGAGCAACTGCCTAGCAAACAGAAGACCCACAGTTCAACTGCCAGTATTGCCACACACACACAAAAAAAAACAATTGCAGATTTTGACTACCAGTCGTTGTGGGTCTTAAATGTCTAGGTGTTTTCACAGGCAGAGGGAGCCACTTGAAAGCTTTTAAGTAGAGGAGTGACATGATCATAGGAGCTTATGACTTGTAGCAATGGGGAGGGTCGGTTGGAGTTTAAGAGATTAGATCGAGGCTGAGGTGCCAATCAGGAGAGCAAGGTGAGGAGAATCAACTAGATTAATAGGCTGTGGGAATTAATACATTTTAATAGGCTGTGACTAATGTGTGCAGCGTTGGTGTTGGGCAAGACTTTACTAATTGAGGTGAAATGTAACAGAACAAGCAGGTTTGGAGAGGAGATAAGTGATTTTTGTGTTACGTTATTTTTATTTATTATTTATTTTTGCATTACTGGGATTTGAATTCAGGGCCTCCAGCTTGCTAGGTAGCCCTCTGCCACTTAAGCCATTCCCTCATCCTGTGAATTTTATTTTGAAGTGTCTCAAATATCTAGGTGAAGGCATCCCTTAGGTGGCTGGCAGTACAGGTTGTAGCCTCGGAGGAGGTCTGGGATGAAATCGTAGGGGAATTGTGAGCCTTTCAGGGGACAGGAGGAATAGTCAGCAGTGTCTGCTTCTGAGAGGTCAGGTGTTGCAAGGACTGAGAGACTGTTGGATAGTTGATTGAAAAAGTAGTTGGTGACTTTGGTGAGAATTGTTTCAGAGCTGTGTTTGTGAAAGTTCAGATAGTGGTGGGGAGAGGAATGACTAAAGGGAAAGGAAATGTAAATGGTGGTTATAGGCTATTAAGAAATTTGGTGATGAAAAAGAACGAAAGAGAGAAGATGGTAGTGTTTTTTTGTGGTGTTGTGGATGGAACCCACAACCTTGCACATACTAGGCAACACTCTACCACTAAGCTACACTGTCAGCCAAGGGCATATAGTGCTTCATGCCTGTTTGACAATGAATGCATGAGTGATTGATTCCCAAGGAAACCGTTAGTACAGATCTCTGGGTAATTTTCTTCTCTGTGCTACTTTTTTGTTTCCTCTCACATCACAAGGAAAAGATGAACCCTAGAGTATCTTTCTCTGAAGTTACTTTGCCTTCCTCTGAAGTTCTCATTAGATAATACCTTTTCCTTTCCATATAAATGGAAAACGTTTTGCTTGAATTTTTTTCCTTGCTGCCTATTAGCAAGTTGTTTGAAGATAGCAAAGACTCTGTTTAACTTGGTGAATTTTCTTTTTTTTTAGGGGGTGGGGAGGTAACAAGTTTGAACTCAAGGCCTTGCACTTGTGCTAGGCAGGTGTTCTACCCTCTGAGCCATTACCCCCAGCTCAACTTAGTGAATTTTCTAATGTTACGAACTTATTTTTTAATGCAGCCCCCAGCAGGGAGAGCATCTATCAGCAATCCAGGAATGGCTGAAGCAGGGAACTTCACTGGGAATAACTTCATGCCAACAAATGGCCTCACTGTGACCCAAAACCAGGTAAACTTCCTATGTGACTCTAGAAAAGCAAAATGCAGTCAGTCCTAAATTTGTTACTTTCTTAATGATAAAGGCTACTTTGCTCTCTTTTTTTTTTAATTCATTTATTCACATATGCATACGTTATTTGGGTCATTTCTCCCCTATATCCTCCACCCCCTCCCTCTAGCCCCCACCCCCCTCGCTTCCAGGCAAAATCTGTTCCTTTTTGGACTCAGGTTTGCAAAGGCAAGCTGGTTTAAAGTAGTTGCTAAAATCTTTGTTTCTTGTAATTTGAATTGGCAGGTGTTGAATTTGATTAAGGCTTGCCCAAGACCGGAAGGATTGAACTTTCAGGATCTCAGGAACCAGCTCCAGCACATGCCTGTAGCCTCAATCAAGTGAGTGAGTGCTTTCCATGAGCTAGGACTGCAAAATTGTACCCATTTTACCTGTCTACAGTTTCCTGATAATGAAAAGTGGGTTTAAAAGGCAGCACTATCTGCTGCAACCTGCGATCTTAGGCACTCTAAAAATTTTGGCTGGTTGAGGTTGTCCTCCTCTTTCTGAAACACCTTTTGCTTACTTCCTGCAACTTTATTGCCCAAATGGGGAGCAAACGGGTTTCATTATGTGGGTGCAGAAGGAAGACTTACTTGTGGTGCTAAGGACTGAACCCATGGGAGGGGAGACGTTTAACAGTTGTATATGCCAGGAGGGTGAATATGCAAGCTGGACTACTCTTTAGATGCTTGTTCACTTTTCTTTGCCTTTATACTATTTGGGAGAGGGATCTAAGGCAGCCCTAGTAGCTATTGCCTGCATGGGTAACCTCAACTTTGCAATTTTGCTGGTGTTTTTCTCTGTGAGAGCCTTCTATGAGGAAATGACTGAACTTTTTAGCTGTGATAAAAAAAGTGCACAAACAAGTGAAGTTTGCATATTTGGCCAATCCAAATAGCAGTTTCCTTTGTTCTACACTGGTTTGCAAATGACCCTTCTTTTTTTTTTCTTTCTTTCTAGGCAAGCTGTGGATTTTCTTAGCAATGAGGGACACATTTATTCCACTGTGGATGATGATCACTTTAAATCCACAGACGCGGAATAACTGGATCTCACTGGGCACCTGAGATAGTGCCAGCTGGACCTATTTTTCACAATCTGTTGTTTCCAGCTGTGTGTGTGGCCAAGTGACTTCTAGAAAGGAGGTTTCATCTATCAAAAGGTCTCATCTAATGTCCTTTTGAAACTTACTGCTCTTCTGTTTTTTTTTGTTGTTTAGAAACTCAGAGGACAATGAGCAATTGATAAGGTAAAGCAGGGTGGACTTGCTTAAAGAAGTTGGAAGTAAGCAAGTTAAGATATCAGGAGGTGGGACTGAAAGACAGTCGCTAACAAGAGTAGGGCAGTTTCTATTCTACAGTGTTTGTGATGGGAGAAGATGAGCAAGACCAGGGCCTGTGGGGAGAGGGCCAGCTGAGGAACCCACTACCTACCCTCTGCCTGTTTTTGCTTCCCGCTCCGGTTCTGTGGCATTACTTTCAAAATTGCACTTTCCTTCCCCTTCTTGCCTGGCCTGCTGCTGCAAGTGGGTTTATGTAAACATGAGGTTATGGAGAAGTGGCCTCCTGGAGCAGAGGAGAGAAAGAGATGTTACTATGTTTTGTATAAAATAGGTGCATCCACATGTTTAATAAAACAGTTCTACCATTGCAGTAGCTTGTGAAATGTCCTCTTTTTTTCTTTCCAAGCCAATGTGATCGCTCCTCTATCACCTGAGGCTATGTAGCATAATGAAACTTGGATTTGAATCTTGGCTCCCACATTTTAGTTAGGATCTTAATCAGGCTCTGTCAGTTCTGAAAGTCTCCATTTACTTGTTCAAGAAAACAAAGCAGGCCAGGTGCCAGTGGCTCATGCCTATAATCCTAGCTACTCAGGAGGCAGAGATCGGGGATCGAGGTTCGAAGTCAGCCTGGGCAAATAGTCCACAAGACCCTATCTTGAAAAAAAAAAAAAAATCACAAAAAAAAAGGGCTGGTGGAGTGGCTCAAACAGTAAGAGCAACTGCCTAGCGAGTGTGAAGCCGTGAGTTCAAAACCCCAGTGCCACCAAAAAAAAAACAAAACAGTATTTCCTCAGAGTTTTGTTGTGAAGACTGAATAAAAATAAGGCATGTAAAGCATCTAGCATTCACATTAATAGGAGTTATAAAACAGATGGTGGGCTAGGGGCCTAGGTCAGTGGTAGAACCCTCACCGCATGTGTGAGGCGCTGGGTTCAGTCCCCAGCAGGGTGAGTGAGTGAATGTCTATGGCCTTGTTGACTCTGGCAGTGTGTGATCATGTAACTATTGAATACCTGCCATCTGATCTCTAAGTGAGACTGCAAATACTGATGGCTGTTTTGGTCAACTTGTCTATTTCTTATGATAGAGGAAACTAGTTCAAAGATATTTTGACAACTCCAGAAAGTAAGCAACATCTTGAAAGAATTTTAAGATGAAATTAATGAGGTATAACATGCAAATAAACTCTATTTGCTCTGTTTCTAAATGAGATCTAGCAACTTCAGAAAAGGTGCCACCATCACCCATCTCCTACCCCTCCCCATTTCTAACCTTAAACATCTGGCAGGTTGTTATACACACAGGATAGTTTCCATCTGAGGAGTTACACATATGCTTAAAGTTCAGTCAACCAGTTCATTATTTGCAAATGTATCTATTTTTGGATGAAGAAGAAAAAGCAGGCTAAAAACCGTTTGGCATATGTGATGTGGTACTTTCATGGGGTGGTGGGCTTTCTAGTTTCCTTCCAGTGTTAGTAGATGTGCTTCCATAGGGAGCACTCCTAGCTATCACATGAGCAGAGATGATACATCAGTGGCTTGGGTGGAAGTCTTCATAGAATTCAGATGATAACTTAGTGATTAAAAATAGCCTACTTGTTAATTTGGCAAATGTTTGTTCATTTGGTACAGACTGTTGACTCACTGGTCAGATACGAGCACAGTAAAGGCTTAGTCTCATAGGATCAAAAGTACCACCAAAAAAAAGAGATTGAGATTGTAGGTATAGACCCTGGGTTTGATCCCCGGCACTGCATAATTAAAGTAAGAAAAAAACAGGAATGAAAGCATACTGAACTATAACAGGATGCACTAACAATTTCTATTCCGGGGCGACTCAAAGGAGTGTGCTTCTTACTTGGGAGACCACCACTGGGAGAGATTTTTAACACCTTTCCAGCCACCCTGCAGCTTATTTTAATGATATAACAAACACACCCTGAGAGGGAGCAGCACCCCACCCCCAGACACAGTTGCGTTGTCACACCTTTGAGCCCAGATTTGCTTCTGAAAACTTGCTGCTTTTCTGCATACTGCAGCATTTGATTACTCAGCCTATTTTGTAGAAACATAGCCCTCTACTGCCCTCCTTTTTGTAGCTTTGTAATTTACTTTGCTTAGTTTTGTGCGGAGATTGAGTGCAAACATGGAAGTAAGAACCGCTGGCATTTTGTAGGCCTCATTCCCCTAAGCTTCAGTGCTAAGGAGGAACTTTGTGTCTCCCGTAATCTTGCTTCTTGCTTCTCATCATAGTCCTGTCTTGGGATCCTCCTGCGTGGTGTAGTTTGCTCTCTGGGGTGGGCCTAGGAACTGGTGGGAAGGTGAGGATGGGTTGCCAGTACTGGGACTAACTCAGCAGCCTGTAGGAGCCAGTCAGGAGTCACCAGGAAAACTCCATGTGGTAATATGGGGGCCTGGAGGTCAGCAGTGGGTTCACAGCTCAGAGAGGAGCAGGCAAAGGAGGACACACAAGTACACTGCCCAGAATCCAAGAGCTGGAAATCTGACCATCTTTCAGCTATCACATCAGACTCAAATCATCTTTTTTCCTGTCTTCTCTACTGACCTCGTGCTAAATTCCATGACTTCATCAGCCCACAAACCAAGAGTCCCAACACTTCCAGGAAATGGTGGCCTCACTGAACTCGCCCAGACTAACCCTGGAAGCTCAGTTAACCCCTGCATCTACAAAGGCTGTATTTGTCCCTTATCTGTGAGGCACTGACAGCGAGACACTCCAACCAGCCCAGAGTCTAGGGGCATGGTGAATTTTAAACACGGAATGGATTCCATGACTAGGAAACAGGTATGGAAAAGAGTGTATGCTCTGGAGACAGGAGCTGTGGCTATGAGACCATAGTGAGCAATAATGATACAGGTCTGCTATGTGCCGGGCACTGTGCCAGAGGCTTTACAAAGACTATCATTTGAGTCTTAAAATGTATGACCTTAGGTAATATGACTTGTTCATTGTTATGCTGGGTAGGTAGTGAGCTTTCAGGTCTTCCTCCTTACCCACTGCACTTAGCCTGTTCCCTGATCTTTACAATCAGACCATGATTTTCCTCCAAGAGTTGAGGATTTTGATTTAGTTTCTAATGGGTCTGGCACATAGAACTTAATAAACAGTATCATTCATAGAGAAGCTCAGACATCATTTTTATTCTGTGGCTTTAGACTGAAATAATCCTTGGATAGTCACAGTTTTAACAACATCTTAGCACACCTGCTGAAACTTCTGGTTTTCCACAGCTGTGCCTCTCTGGTTCTTTTTAAACTAGCTCCCCTAGTTCCAGCACCAGCTTTTGAGAGCTAAAGCTTCAAAGAGATCCTACTTTTGAAGCTAGTTTCCCACATTCACTCATTCAGGCCCCATTTGCCAAGTGCTGGGTGTGACAGAGGTGAGGAAGACAGTCCTGGTCTCCTAGGGCCTTGAAGCTTGGGCAGCAGAAGCAGGAGGGAGACCAGAGAAGGCGGCAACAATGCATGTGATGAGGGTGAAGCAGTCAGCACCAAGGTTGGTGGCCTCTGACTCGTCTCTGCACCCAGTGATGGGACAACTGGTGGGATGCAAAGTTGATAGAAGCCAGCTGGTTCCTCTGAATACCAACGCACTAAGGCTGAGGAGTTGTGGGTGATGTGCTGGGCTCAAACAAACCAGCCTCCATGGCCAGAACCCAGCCCCAAAGGCAGTCCCCTCCAGTCTCCGCCTGTGTCTGAGCTCTGGAAGACTGCCCCAAGTCTCTTAGAGGCTCACAGGGTCGCTGGTGTCCTGCTGCCCCAAGAATGGCAGCAGCTGAGATGCCCAGCATCTCCTTCACCTAGAGGGTTTTCTGAAAGTGCTCAAGTATTTCTTCATAGTCATGTTCACACATACCTGCAAAAGAGTCCAGGTCAGCCTGGGGCTGTAGCTGGGTGGTAGCATGTTTGCCTAGCACGCTTGAGGCCCTGCACAATGAGGATATTTGGTTTTGGGGAACTTCCTTCCCCTCTTTACTATCCTCACCTATACAGGAAACAGGGTGGCCTGGGTGCTCTAAGGTCCTTACTAGCCCAGAAACCATGATGTGTTCTCCCTGAACACTGAGCCGTCTCCTCATCCTATAGGTTGTAGGGAGGGGAGTGTGCTTGCCAGAGCTCGGGAGCCCATGGGGACCTCTCCACCTGACCCACCCCATAGAGCCTTGTCCTTCAAACTGGGACCACAGAGGGTCCCATAGGTAGGGCTATCAGACGCAAAGGGAGCAGCAGAGGAGCAGGGTGGGAGGGGAAAAGCAGGGTGGACCGAAGGGACTCACCTGGGTCCTGTGTTGGGGGCTTGGTTGGCCTGAGGCCCTTCTTAAGGCTAGAAATCTGGCTGTATAGATTTGGTTTGTCCTTGGAGAAGTCCGGCAAGGTCTTTGCCTTGGGTTTGGGCAGTGCAAGCGATTGCTTCGGCCCTGAGACTTGAAATGACTGAGTAGGAGAAAAAACAGAAATCAACAAGGTCCTAATAAATGGCTGCAGAATCTCTAATGTCACTTCCCTATCTGAAGTGACATTTTCCAGTGTAGGGCTTCTTGGGACCCCAGGTGGTTTTGCTATAAGTACATGAAATATTCTTTGGCAGGGAAAAAAGTCAGGGTTAAGGGCTGTGTCTGGTGAATGTCCTTTAAATCTTGCTGGAAGCAGGAAAAAAGCAAAGTGGAGATTCCTCAAGAAAGCAGTCACAGGCTGAGCACAGTGGCTCATACCTGTAATCCCAGCTATTCAGGATTCAGAAATTTGTCCCTGGAAGAGTTAGTGAGACCCCTATCACAACCAATAGTGGGGCATGGTGGCACACCCCCATCATCACAACTACAGGGGAGGTATAAAATAGGATAAGGATCTAGGCTAGCCCAGGCAAAAACTCAAGACTATTTGAAAAATAACTAAAGCAAAAAGGACTGGGAGCATGGCTCAAGTTGTAGAGACTTTGAGAGGCCCTGAGTTCAAACACCATTACTGCCAAAAAAAAAAAAAAAAAAGCAGTCATAGCCTCTGAATGGAACACCAGGGCAGGGCAAGAGGTCCTAGGAGGAGGACAGAGGACATCTACTGAGGCCCCACCACACGCCATATGCGTCTGCTCAATGAATCCTCAAGTGACTCTCTGAGCAGCTGTTCCAGTTCCCAGCAATTCGCAATGTTGCCTTCCCCATGGTGCTGGGAGAGAGACCATTACTGGACCCAGAACTATGTCCGTGACCTCTGAAACCAGTGATCTTTCTGCCACACCATGCTTCAGAGACTAAATGGTGCCACTCCCCTGGACCAGCAGTGATCTGGTGCCCCGAGGGAACGAGGTGCTGTCCAAGGGCCTGACGTCACTCCATCTGAAGTCAAGGACTCTCAACTCTATGCTGGGTTCTAGCCTGTCAGAAAATTTCTGCCCCACCCCCACACCACGACAAGTGCCCTTCCTGGGGCTGGGACTGCTCAGAACTCATCTTTCTAACTTTCACTGCCATCCCACCCCCTACGGGTTAGGAAACACTTGCTACGGTTTACAAAGCTCTGAGATAGCCACCATTTGGCACTTGGTGATGCCATCAGACCTAACTTCAAACCCCAGCCCTGCCACCTCCAACTGCCTCTGGCTGTTGTGCCGACCTCGGGGGACCCTGTACAGTAGGTGGGACAGTGCGGGAGGAACCTGCACGGAGTCAGCACCCCATAAGAAGCAGCAAACATGAGGGCACTGCAGGTGAGGTCACCTTGGGTTTACCATGAGAAAATACTCTTGGACAAGGGGTGGCTTGTACAGGCTACACTGCAATGTAAGCTCGTTCAGCAGGGTCACTGACTGGAGCAGGGGGAGTCCCTGCCCCCACACAACTCTTTCTAGCCAGAGAAGTACAACTAACAAAATGACACGTCCTGGAGCCGTGGACGCAGCAGTGGGATGACAGAGGAGGAGGGAAGGAGGAAGAACATTCTGAGCCTGGCACCAGTGGCCCACACCTGTAATCCTAGCTACTCAGGAGGCAGAGATCAGGAGGATCACAGTTCAAGACTAGCCCGGGAAAATAGTTGGTATCACAAAATAGGGCTGGTAGAGTGGCTCAAGTGGTAAAGCACCTGCCTAGCAAGTGTGAGGCCCTGAGTTCAAACCCAAGCACCCATCCCCACCTCACCACATCACACCACCCCTCTACCCACCGCCCAAAAAAAGAACATCCCGGCAGGAGGCCCAGTACTTGAAAAGTGCAAGGCGGGAGTCCTGGTACCAGGGGTTGCTTCAGGAGCCCCTCTGGGGCTGAGCAGGGACTGCACAGTGGTAGGGGTGGGGAGATGGCCCAGGAAGACCAGACTGAAGTCCTGAAGGACCCCGATGCCATGTAAAGCCACTGAAGGTTTCTGTATATGGAGCCCACTGGTGTCTGGGACAGGGTTCGGGAGGCCATTCTGGCAGCTGTGGGGGAGGGGTAGCAAAGGCTGCTGGAAGAGGTTAGGTGAGAAATGACAAGGCTTGAGTGACAGCAGGGTGGCAGAGAGGAAAAGCACGAGCTGGAGTCAAAATGTTTGAGATGGAGTTGAAGCCTCCCATACTAGCTGGGACTTTGGATGAGCCTCAGAGTCTCGTGCTCGTTTTCTTAATAGTAAAATACAAATGATCACATCAACCTTAGGACGGTAAGGACTGGAGGGTGCAGAACGTGTGATGCAAGCTGCAAGTTCCACACGATTGTAAGAAAACCATCCCAGACAAAGAAGCAGAAGGACCCACAGCGGTCCCAACAGGTCACTCCTCCCTGCCCACTTCGGTTGTCCCAGTACCTTGACGCTTCCGTCCCTGCCATTCTGTCTCTTCTGCTCTCTGAGGCCCTGGCTTTTTGGGGGCCTGGGTGGGGGTGCTTGGCTCTCACAGGCTGGTAACTTCCGAAGGCTGTAGTAGAAGGTTTCCGACAGCTCCTCCACTGTAGCTACCGGGAGAGGCCTAGCCAGCTTATCTGGCTGCCCCTTGGCCTCCACCACAGTCAGGTCCAGCCACCGGGGAGGGATCTCAAAGTACATCCCCGGCTGGGAGTCCAGGCCCACCACCAAGAAGGGTTCCGTGATCTTCTCCTCCAATCTCAGGCCCGGGAAGGAGACCAGAGGGTCACTGGGGTAGGTGGTGTCCTTGGCCACCACCTTGACCTCACAGGGCAGTGAGAACTGGGCAGTCAGATCTGCTAGGCTGTAACGTCGACTATCATTCATCTCCTCCACAAAGGCACTAGCGAGGTAGAGGGGCAGCAGAATCCGTTCTTGGTCCTCCTCAACCTCTTTATAATCGTCCTCCTCTTCCTCCTCAGCCGCCTCACCTAGCCGCTGACACACCAGGACATCTATGTCCTGGCCTTGGGCCCCATAGGTCTGGCCAGACCCCAGCACCTCCAGTCGGTCACCGACAGCCACAGAAGAGAACTCGAGATTCTCCTCCTCGTCCCCCTCACAGTCTTTTGTGGCCACCACCCGGAGGGGCCTGCCTTTCTGGAGAGCACCTAGGAGGTCATAGGTTGTGGCAAACTCCCTGGGCCGCCGTCGCAGCTTGCCCTGGTAGGCCCCAGAGACCATGAAGTGTCTGGGCACCTTCCGGCCCTTACTCGAAGCCAGGACCCGCCAGGGTGGTGAGGCCAGGCCGTAGATGCACAGCCTCTGGCCTTTCCTCAGGGAGCCCACCCAGGGGCCGAGGAAGATGGGGGGCCCCTCTGGAACCTCCAGGATCTCTGTGAGTAGGGGGAAGGGCCCTCCCCGGGCCAGGGCCTCACTCAGCAGCAGGGGCCTGATGAAGTGGACGTGCTGGGAGGAGGCGGTGACGTCTTCTACATCGACCTCCAAGGTGGAGGGGATCTTGACAATGGTCCTGCGCACTGTGGAGGGAGGGCAGTTTAGGGGTACAGCACATGACACCCCAGTGATGAGTCCCCACCCTAGGTAAAGAGCAGTGGTCAGCTTGCTGGCCTCTCCTGGTTCCATCTGTGCTTCCTACTACCATTTCCCTGTTGTACTGGATTCATTGACCACTCTTTTCCTTCAGTCTCTTTCTAAGAAATTAATATGTTTAAACATTCATAAAATAGAATGGTGTATGCACCCCCAAATTCTCGTCACCAGCTTCAATAGTTCATTCACAGTCCATCTGCTTTGGTCTCTACCACAGCTACTCCTCCACTGGACTATTCAGAATCAGAGTAATCAGAATAATCACACCATGATGACTGTATCAATGTGCATTTACAAAAAGGAGGATAATCTAAAATTTTTTATTGATAATGGTTTTTTGGTGGTACTGGGGTTTGAACTCAGGGCTTCACACTTGCAAGGCAGGTGCTCTGCCACTGGAGCCACGCCTCCTGTACTAAATTTCTTTAAAAAGAAAACCTGTAACGCCACTACGGCATCTAACTGATGCTTAGTAGCACCAAACACCCCTCAGTTCAACCACGGTTTAAGCACCAGGTGAGCAGATAATTGGTTGAAGCTGGGAGATATTCACACAGGGGTTCTAGTTCCTGTTCTTTTTTAATTCTTCAAAATAACTTATGGATTACTTAAACTGCCTTATTATCCAGTGCAGGCCCCCAAGCCCCAGCTACCATTCAACCCCCTGGGCCCCGGATTCTGGTCTCTTACTACTGTTCCCACAGAGAGGGGCCAGGGCTCCCTGGATAAAAGCTAACTTCAGTTCCTGGGGAGGAGATGTTCAAGGGGAGCCTGGAACATTCTACATCAGAAAGCAGGATTCAAGCCCATCCAGGTCTGCCAAAAGGCTGCAAGAACCCACTTGAAAAGGCTCCCTCTGGCCAAAGCTCTCAGATAATTTGAACATGAATATGAATAACTTTAGTGGGGCTGGGTCTGGTGGCTCACACCTGTAATCAGGAGGTAGGGATCAGAAGGATGGCAGTTTGAGGCCAGCCTGGGCAAAAAGTCAGTGAAATCCCATTTCAATGAAAAAACTGAGGGGGTTGATGCATGCCTGTGGTCCCCACTGTGCCAGCAGACCCTACCTGGAAAGTAACTGAAGCCAAAAAAGGGCCAGAGGCATGGCTCGCTCAAATGACACAGTGATGAAGCGCCTGCCTAGCAAGCGTGAGGCCCTGAGTTTAAACCCCAGGATCGCCAAAAAATAATTAATAACAATAATAACATCATCAGTGGATGGAAACACACTGAAAACACGTCATCACTTTACCTGTCCATTCATAACGATTAAAAAAAAAAGCCATCAGCACTGAGGCTGAGGCAGGAGGATAACTAAGTGCAAGGCCAGGCTTCTGTGTCGCCTGGCCAGGGTCCGCCACTCTCTCTTTTATAGTGCCTACTCTTTCTTTTTCTTTCAATAAAGCTTTGCAAAATTAAAAAAAAAAAGCTCAAGTCCAGCCTGGGTTGCATAACAAGACTGTCTCAAAAAACAAACCAAAAACCCACCTACACTGTCACCCTTGTACAATGCCACAGAGCCAACTCATTTTAAAAGCTGGCAAACAAAGAATATGTTTCTTGGGGCTCCATCTGGACGGGCTAGTGGTAGCATCCAGAGTGGGGCTGGGGAAACTGAGGCAGTACCCACCAGGGCTGGCTGGTTGGAGGTCAAACCTGGGTGGAAGTAGAAAAATGGGTGTCTGGCTGGTGGCACACACCTGTACTCCTAGCTACTCAAGAGGCAGAGATCAGGGTGATTGTGGTTCAAAGCCAGCCCAGGCAAATAGTTTGCAAGAGCCTATCTCAAAAAACCCACTACAAAAAAGAGCTGGTGTAGGCTCAAGATGTAGGTCCTGAGTTCAAACACTAGTACAACAACAACAATAAAAGAGTGCTCACTGTGATGCTGGGTGACAGGTCACAAGGTTTGTGTTACTTCTTCCTGCTTTGTTTAATTTTCCCATAATAAAAAAGTTTTGGGGGCTGGAGATGTGGCTCAAGTGGTAAAGCGCCTGCCTAGCAAGCATGAGGCCCTGAATTCAAACCTCAGTACTATCAAAAAAGAAAAAGAAGAAAAAAAAGTTTGGGGGCTGGGTGTAACTCATTAGTAGAGCACCTGCCTAGCAGGTTTCATACCCAGCACTACCTTAAAAAAAAAAGAGGCTGAGGCAGGAGGGTCTTGAGTTGGAGGTCAGCCTGGGCTACATAGCAAGACCTGTGTCTCAAAAAAACATGCAAAGAATCCCACTTGGCCCTGCAATGTGCCAGCAGCCCTGGCTGCCTGCCCTGTAGGTGACTTCAAGGAGCTGGGCCACCAACTGTCTGCTCAGGGAAGAAGCCCTGGTACCCAGTACCACCTTCCTCCACTCAGGCTCTGCCTCCCACCCCGCCAACCCTGGCCAGGTTCTGCCTCTGTTTCCTCAGCCCTCTTCTGCGTGCTGCCACCAGCCTGTCCTGAGGAATAACCGAAGAAACAAACTCTGAAACAGCTGGGGTATCACATTGACAGGGTCCTCTGTCACTCAGAGAACAATGCTGTCCTCCTCAGAGTCTGGAAGAGTCCAGTTCCCAAGGCCACTGGTCAGGTTTTCATTTTGCACTATTGTGTGTCTGCACCAATGCTATTGAGCTCAGCAGCCTCTGCCAGTTCTGCAGAGCAGGTGGGACCTCATCCATGCTTATTCCATTTTCCTGTCTTCTTCTACCCAATGGGGCATCTGCATTCTGTTCCACTGTGTACACTGGGTCAGCCACCTGGGAGCCCTGGACTATTACAGAGTGGGGATGTCCTTCATCAGAGCAGCTACCAGGACCCACCGGTGCCTCTCTCCTCCCCCGCACCTGCCCAGACCACTCACTGTGCATGATGGCCTGGATTTCATACTGAGGCTTCAGGATCAGGGAGGGCCAGGGGAGGCTGGGGCAAACGAGGATGCAGTCCTTCAGAGCTGGGTCCTGCAGCACCTGGAGTAGGCTTTGGGGGGTACCAAGCTCCCATTGCCAGAAGGGCCCCTTCTGAGACAGGGGCAGGTGCAGTACGACCTGCTGGGTCCCCGAGCCCTGGACACAGCGTGCACTGCAGGTCCCAAGGTGCATTTCCACAGCCTGGAGGATGAGAGGCTGGTCCTCAGCCACCATCCTGCCCTGTGCGCTAATTCTGCGGGTTGACACGAAGTAAACTGGCAGCTGTGTGGAGCTCTGAGTTATGGCAGAGACCAGCTCTTCCAGGGTTCTGTAGCTGTGGAAGCTGGTGATGGGACTGAAGTGGCCTGTGGGGTTCAGCACAGGGCAGAAGAATAAGGATGGGGACAGAGCTTTGCTGGGGCCAGGCCTTGCTCTGACACTACAGATAATCCAGCCAGGACCCTCTTGAGGACAATGTCAAGGATGGCCCTGCATCTGGACATCCAGACTGCAGGACTGAGAAACAGAAGGCAGAATGAGACAGCTTCATCACCACGCCCATGTTTTTACTGGTTCAGTCCCACAGCCCTCGCTCCCCCCAGGGCACATAGGTGTCAAGATGTTTGACAGTGAATGTGTGAACAAACACAGAGACTGACACCTGGACAAAGAGTCAGAAGCATGGGGGCTGGGGTGTGGCTCAAGTGGTAGAACATTTGCCTAGCAAGAGCAAGGCCCTGAGTTTAAACCCCAGTACCACAAAAAAAAAAAGAAAAAAAAAAAAAACGGTCAGAAGCAGATATCATCGGAAGACATAAGGGGAGGGCATAGTCTCATTAGCCTCAGGGCATCACCAGACCACTGTGGGGCACCCCTGAGGGGCATCTATGAGGCTGCCTGGTGATGAGAGTGACACTCAGAGGAGTGGGAGTGGATGCTGTGCTGGCAAACCCACCCACAAGTGGCCTGAGGGTGCCAGGAGAGGCAGAGGTGTCCACCTTACCCGGGAAGTTGGGGGCGAGTTCCAAGGTCTGACCCGTCCCTGGTTTCTTGCAAATCACTTTCTGGAGGTGAACCTGGATGACCTTGATCAGGTCCCCTGTGGAGAGGCAGCACTCATTCCCAGAGATCTCGTAGACAGAGCCTGTAGGGACATGGACTCAGTCTCCTCATCGGCAAGGGCCCAGCACCGGGTGCCCTATTCCCCACAAGCTATGCTCTGCCACACCTTTGTACATACTGTTCCTGCTGCCTGGAGTGCCCTTCCCTGCCCTTCCCCACTGGAAGTCAGCTGGCGCAGCTGTCCTCAAGCAGCTAAGCCATCACTGCCTCCTCTGAGCATGGGATGCACTCCATGGCACCCTTCTCTAGCCTTTTCTCCATCACCAGCCTTCTAACCTGCTCACAGGTGGAGCTGGCCCCCCCACTGCATCTGTAGCAGCACAGGGCTGGACCTCTGAGTGTGTATTCAACCCACGAAGGAGTAACTAACCCAGCAAATCTCAACTCTCTGATTGTGCAGTTGTGAAATCAGGCCCAGAGAGGGTCAGTAGCTCCTGGCAGGTCACACAGGGTCGGCTGGGTATCCAGCTCTCCACACACTTTGCTTTCTCCTTCAAACAAGTTGCTTTTAAAGAAAGCACAGGAGGCAATGGAGGGCACCGTCAGGGAGGACCGTGGGCAAGGTTCTGGACACCACCCTCCAGCCCAGCAGCCCACTTTCCTGGCTCAAAGAGCTGAAGCGCACAAAACATACACAATAAAGGTGTCCACCACGAAGAGTGCACAGGTCCCCATCCAGCGGAAGGAGGACAGGAAACTACAGGTGGCAGGGCCTTGAGCCACCAGAGCCTACCCAGGGGAGCCCTACTAGGATATCTCCCATCCTTTGATGCAAACCTCACTCTGACCCCCCCCGGAAAATGCACTCAGGGTTGTAAAGTACAGCTGCCACGCCAAGTGCTACACACACCACTGCTTTCAAGACTCATGACCGCCCTTGGGGACGGGCAGTTTCCCTTTCTTAGACAATGACACTTAGCAGTTTCTTGTTCCTAAAGAAGATGACACTGCTTCAAAAAAAGTCGAGTGAGATGCTGAAGATTATCATGTAAGGCTGGGTGGGCATGGTGGTGCATGCCTGTAATTCTAGCTCCTCAGGAGGCTGAGGCTGTAAGATCACAAGTTTGAGGCCAGCCTGGGCAGCTTAGCAAAACCCTGTCTCGAAATAAAGTAAGACAAGGGGCTGTGGCTAGAGCTCAGTGGTGGAGCACTTAGCTAGTATGCACAAGCTCCTAGTATGGAAAAAACCGAACAAAGCGAAAACAGGTGATTGGATAGAGGAGACAAAACTAGGGGTGGAAACCACATGGTCAACCATTCCATAATATTCCCCCAGCTCCTGCCCCATCGATGCATGTCATCTAAACCCACACTCTTATCACATCACCCCAACTTCTGCCACTTCCCAGCACCCTAGGTCAGGCCGAATGAGGAAACTCAGGTATTGTGACAGACAGGCAAGGGATGGGGTTGGGGGAATAGAGGGGCTTAGTCTGGGGCTGGAGAAAGAGCAAACAGATCCCAGGTGCCTGCATGCAGGAAGCCCCCAGAGGTGGAGCCAGAACTGGAACCCAGATCCACTGGAATCCCAAATGGCCCTGGAGAGAAGCACTGTGAGGTGGTGGCTCCTGGATGGCCCTCCATGTGTCTCGGCCCTCACTCAAGCCCTCAGAACACTTTGCTGGAAGCTGCAGGGAGCAGGATGGGGGCAGGGCACTCAGAGAAGTTTGCTCTCAGGAAGGGGCCTGAACAGCCGGCTTTTCCCATACCCCACCCCCAGCACCTCTCAGTTCCCTCTCCTCTCTATCTCCACCTCTCCCACTCAGGCCCCAGTTCCTCCCTGGAAGACCAGTTCCCCCCACAGTAGCCCTGGTCTCCCATGCACTTCACTGCCTCCTCTCCTCCCACTGTCAACCCCAGGCCTCCCGCTGTTTTGCACAATAGCTAGTGCAGGACTGCGTCCTGTCGAGAACCATCCTTGCTTGAACTAGGCATGCTGCTGGCAAGGAGCAGATGAGCAGGGTGGTGCATAAACAGCAGGGAAGGCTTCCTGGAGGAAGAGTCACTTAAAGCTGAGAACTGAAGAACTGACCGGATCACCTACTGCCCACTGTCCTGCAGAAGGCCAAGGTGGGGCAGCTGATGGAGGATCCAGGGAAGATAGTGTAGGGAGGAGAGGGCGGAGGGCACAAAAACAGGACTGCCTCCCGCTTATTAAGTAATGGGGCCGCGGGTGCAGATCAGTAGTGGAGGGCTTGCCTAGCATGCTCAAGGCCCTGAGATGCATCCCCAGCACCACAAATAAAAAACCAAGCAACAGCCACTACCACCGCGAGCGTCCTTAGTGCCACATCTCGGGCACAGTCGGAGCTCCATCAATGCGCACCGAGGTTCCACCCGCGCTTAGCTCGGTTCCACCCACTTTCCATGCTGAACTCACTCACTTATCACCACCCCAAATCACCAAGCTTGGGCAGTGGCGGCGAGGGTGCTCGAACCCCCGCTGCAGTTGGCCAAGGGGGAGCCTGGGCCGCTCACCCTCGAAGTAGACTCCGGAGCAGACCCGCAGCACGCGCGGGAGGGAGGCGGGGTCCAGGTGGCACACGAAGTCCTGCAGCGGCACCGGCTCCATGGTCCCCGTGGCTCGTTGGGCGCAGAACAAGTGACCCGCCAGCAGCCAGCGGGGACACCCGGGCGGCTCACCTCGCGGGAGCCCGAGGCCACGCCCATTCTAGACCACGCCCCCAAGAAACCACGCCCCTCCGCACTGTTGGGTAAGGCACCGCCCCTTCTTCACCTGCTTCCTCATTGCCAAACCCGGTGACGATACCTGTCTATGACTTTGGTTGCTCCGTTTTGAGCAACGAGATCAGGACGTGACCCTCGGAAGACGATGAATGAATAACAGCTGTCCCCACCTCCCCAGGGCGACAGTGATGTGCTACCCTATCCCGTAGGGGCAATGAGGAAGAAGATGGAGAAGCCGGACAGCCCTGCCCTCTGGGTCTGAGGAGGGAGATGTGGTGTCCAGGGCACTCTGTGGTCCCTTCTTGACCACCGCTAGTGATGGGCATCTCGTTATCTTTTTAGGACTCCCATGTCCCCCAGGGAATTCTAATTAAAGATTCAGCCCTAGGCTAAAGAGACCGATCACCCACCTCAGGCCCCACAGGACAGCCGAAAGCTTTTCCAGTTCCCTTTCTCTGGGAGTCAGACCAACACAGATTCAAATCCCAGCTTCTCCTCTGGCTTGTAAACCACTTTGATTCTCTGAGCCTCAGTGTTCCCATCTGTAAAACGGGGCTGTTTGTGAGGATTAAATGAGGTGACATAGGTATTGCACAAAATGGTGTATTTAGCTTTTTTTCACTATAAAAGTAATAGAAGACTTCTAATTAAAGACAATAAAGACACAAAAAAATCCAATATTAGTACATTACTGTAACTCAATTACAGACTTTACCTGGATTTATCAGTTTTCTCATTAATGTCCTTTTTGGTCCAGAAATTCAGTCATTATGGCTCCTGTCTGAACATTTCTCAGTCTTTCCTGTTCTTCTTATGACCTTGATAGTCTCAGGAGTGCTAAGTTGAGTCTATCTGATTCTTCCTCATGATAGAGAGCGAGGGAGCGGGGTCTGGGTTCTAAGGAGAATAGTGCAAAGTGAGTGTCCTCATCACATGGAGGGAGAAAATAGCACATCACCAATGGTGTTACCTTGAGTGCTAGGTAAAGCTGGTGTTTCAGGTTTAAGGTCACTGCTTTCCCTTTCCATCCTCTGGTTTTTGGAGCCATGGCTCCAAATCCAGCTCAGCCTCAAGGGGAGCTAAGCATTCTTCCTGGAGGGAGAACATCTGAATATGTTTTTGGAATTCCTGGAGGATTTATTTATCCATTCACCATTCAGTTTGGTTTTTTTTGTTTTTTGAGACAGGTCTCTCTATGCAGCCCAGGTTGGTCTGGAACTCCAACTTCCTCTTCTCTCCTTTTTTTGGGGGGTGGCGAGGGGCAAGGCTGGGATTTGAATTTAGGACTTCATGCTTGCAAAGCAGTCGCTTTATCTCTTGAGCCACGGTTTCAGTCCTCGATCCTCCTGTCTCAGCCTCCCAAGTGCTGGGATTACAGACTGCACCACTATACCCAGCTCAGTTATTTATTCATATCAGTATCAACTCATGTCTGTTTATCAGATTACATGGTTTGTAATCCGATTCTGCATTATTTATTTTGCTGCCCACTGTCCACTTTGGGAGTTCCCTCAGGATGGCCCCAGGCCCCTGGACCTACCCCCAAAGTCTTGTTGTGAGCACTCCCTTTCTGCCCAGAGTGACACATGTTCCTGGCTCCTCTCTTGTACTTTCCCTGCCCCAGCCCTCAAGTCAGCCGTGTCTCCCTGGAGCCCTCATTTCTTTGATTGGAGAATGGCGTTTAGAAACCAAGATCTGAGGGCTGGTGGAGTGGCTCAAGTGGTAGAGCATATGCCTAGCAAGCATGAAGCCCTGAATTCAAACCCCAGTGCTGCAAAAAATAAATAAATAAAAATAGAAACCAAGATCTGGGTGTTGGGAGTGTTCCCAGTTGCTGGGTTGCCTATTCTTTTTGTTTGTCTTTTTCTTTCTTAGCATAAACATTTACAGACATGGCCCACCCCACCACCCAGCTGCAATCAGATCCGGTTCTGACCAAGGAGAAGCTCCTGGCTGTTAAGGTTCAACAGAAAATTCCAAATTCTCATTTCACCTTGCTTTTATCTTGTCAGCAGGTCTAGCAAATACAGTCGTTGGGAGCCCAGAAGTGAACTTACCAAATTAGCAGGCAGACACACACTCCGTGGACATATTGAAGGCATTTTCTTGCCGCTGTAATTTAGATCCTGATGAGCAGAGAGGGGGGTACACTCCCTGCTCCCACCCCATGCATCATAGGCCTCACGAACACGATAGGTGTGCACAATGCAGCAGTGTTGTTGACAACTGGATGGATGAATGACTGAAAAATGCTTCCTTGGAACAGATTTCTGAAGTGGAATTTCTGTGTCAAAGGGTACTTGTTTTACAGTCTTAAGGCCACTGAGCCTCTGCATGATGGGATGAAATAAGGAAGGCGTAGGACCTTTGTGAGATCTGAGAGAAGGGAGCCAGACATGGTGGTGCACATCTGTAATCCCAGCTACTTGGGAGGCAGAGGCAGGAGGAACATGGTTTCAAGGCTGGCCCTGGCAAAGGTAGCAGTGAGACCCTGTCTCTAAAGCAAATCAAAACAAAAGGTCTGGGGTACACTTCACGTGGTAGAGCACTTGCCTAGCCCTGGGTTCAATCCGAAGCATCACACACACAAAAAAATACCTGAGAGGAGGAATGCAGGCAGCCCAGCCCAGGAAGGTCTGAGCAGAGGGGCTGGTGGAGAGGACATTTCTGTTTCCAGCTGGTGTACTTCATGAGCACTTATCCTGACCAGGCCCTAAACACCCCATCATCCCTACACATAAGCAAAGTCAACATCATAACTCCATTTTACAGAGGGGGAAACTGAGGCCCAGAAAAGTGAAGGGATTTATATAAGGTTATGCAAAGTGGACATGCTCTCCTAAATAGCCATTTAACATCAGCCCAGTTTTGCTTAGATTTCAGTAGAGGATGACGAAGAAAAGGGATGGGCTTTGGAGATAGAGCTGGGCTCAAATCCTGGCACCACCACTTCTTAGCTGTGTGACTTCGGGTGAGTTCCTTAACCACTCGGAGCCTCACTTCTTGTACAATGGGGACGGGAAGGAGCTGGGGTGTTGGTGAAAATTATAGTGTAACACAGGCATGTGCACATGTGCTGAGTGCTCAGGTCTACTTTCATTATGTCATTTCCTGAGGGCCTCTTTTGCCTCTGAGATGTCTCAGACAAAATGTTATCTCATTTCCTTCTCCACGAACCCCACCTTAGAGTTTAGGAAATAAGACACTGTGGGAAACTTCCTCGTGACTGCTGCAAAGCATGTGCATAGAGGAACAGAAAATCTGCTTCTAGATGCGTCCATACTATTGTTTGAGTACTTTTGTTTATGACGACAAAGACACTATGGTTCCCACCAAGGACCGCTGTGGAGATGTTTTGGGAGGGGCACTCCCTCTCTTCGCTGATGTCTGGGGGTGAAGGCCATTGTAGGCCTCAGCCCCTCTAGGTCCCTTGTCCCTTGACCCTGTGAACTGGCAACAGGTAGAGGACCTTCTCAGCCGTGGTGGAAGGGGGAAGATGGGAAGGAAGGAAGGAGGCGCAGGAAAGAGGAGGGATGAGAAAAGAAGGGGAAGAAGAGAGGGAAGAGCAGCAAGGGAGAAAGGCAGGGAGGAGGGGAGGCCAGGAGAAGTTCAGATCCTCTGGTCCTCCTCCCCTGCCACGGGGCAGCCATGGGCAGTTAGAGATGGTGAAACCAAGGGAAATCCTGAGTAAATCATCCAGACGTCTCATCTCCTGTGTCACCTCAGTTCCTGAATAAACCCTCTACACGTAAACCCCTTGCCTGCTCTTAGTCACTTTTGCTAAAAAGGTTTTCGCGGGGTTGGGATGAACCCGAGGGCCAGGCTTGCTCAGCCCGTGCTCTCCCCCAGGGGCGCTTGCTTTCAGCTGACCAAGTTTCCAGTGGCACAGGTAGAGCAAAGGCTGATGGCCCTGAAGTGGAGGCCCATCATGCAGGCTCAGACCATTTCCTTCCTAACCTCCAACCTCTCTCTCCAAACCTCCCCAGGAGGCAGCCCTGACATTTGCTGTCTCCATGCATGGCTCCTCCTTTGCAAAACCCACTCCTGTGTAACTGTCATACTGTCTGGTGGCTCAGAACCAACCCAGCCCCAAGACTACCCAAGATTGGAGCACCAGCAAGAGCTACTCCACTGAGGACAGACACCATCCAGGAGCTGGGGGAGGGGCAGGGGCAAAACATAAACTGAAACCCGGACTTTGGGCCTGGGGAAGTGGGTAAGAGTGCAGAGAGCTCTTTAAAAATTTTTCTTCCCTTTTTTGCAGTGCAGGGGGATTAAACCCAGGGCTTCACACAGGCCGCAAGCACCCTATCACTGAGCTCCATCCTCAGTCACCTCAGAGGCCTTTTGCACCTGTTACTTCCAAACTGGAACTGGACGGCAGCTGAGGCCCTGCTCACTGTTAGATGCATCTCTCTGGAAGGGACCCCAGCCCCGCGGTCCTCTGGCACCAGAGCAGAGGGAAGGAAGGGGCCCCAATTCTGGGAGAGAGGCAGGACTTTGTTCTCCCAATATCACAAAACTTAGTTTTAGGGCAGCAGCTGGGCTCTTGCCTCTTTAGCAGAAGTTAAATAAAATGTTACCTCTTGGCAGGGTGCGGTGGGCCTATCTGTAATCCCAGCACTAGGGAGGCTGAGGCAGAAGGACCATGAGTTTAAGACCAGCCTACCACCTATATAGAGACCCTGTATTTAAAAAAAAAAAAAAAAAGGAATTACATATGACACAGCAATTCCATTTCTGTGTAGTCACCCAAAAGTACTAAAAGTAGAGTCTCAAAGAGA